ACACACACACACACACACACACACACACACACACACACACACACACACTTTATTCCTTCTGCCATGCCACTGGCGCTGAGACGTACATGCACCCTTGCCTTCCTCCTTCCTGCTTTCTCCCCCGAGGCGAAGCCCTCGCTGAACCACATCTAGGAAACAGCAACTGAAAGCAGGTGTTTGGTTTGAGAATTGGGGTTGCTAGCCGGCGTTTGCAGCAATCTGTGGTCGCACAGTACAGCAAACTGTACTCCATACACCATAGTACTTTCACAATTGTGAAGTTACTTTTTTTGAGTGTGTGTGTGTGTGTGTATGTGTATACATGTGAGCACAGGCGCCCATGGAAAGACTTCAGACCTCACAGAGCCAGACTTGTCACAGGCACTTGTGAGCTGCCCATCACGAGTGCTGAGAGCCACACTGTGGTTCTCGGCAGGAGCAGTGTGCACTTTTAACCACCGAACCCTTCGCCAGCCCTGCAAAGTTACATTTTAAGTAATGATGTAAATACCCACATAAAATCCTAAACTTTGCCTCTTGGCCTTCTTTGACTAAAATATTACCAATATGATCTTTTGTAGAGAAGGCTTTGTGGCTGGAAAGATGACTTGGCAGTTAAGAGCACTGGCTGATCTTCCAGTGAATCCAGGTTTGATTCCAAGGACCCACACGGTAGCTCACAACCATCTATAACTCCAAGTCCTGGGGATCTGACAACCTCTTCTGGCCTCCACAGATACCAGGCATGCCGGTGATATACAGGCAAAACACCCCCACACACAAATAAGTAAAGAATAATAAATAAAAATAGATAAATAATAAATGATAAATAAATAAATACATTTTAAGAGGAAAAGGCTTGGTAATTCTCACTCTAGAAGTTTGTAGAGCTCATTCTCCCATGGCTTAATGGCTTAACCCTTGGTCCTCAAGTCCAGGCTACTCCCTGGGCACCTTTGGCATAAGGAAACATATTTTATCAGCACTCTTGAGACCCAATTGGTTCCAGGTAAAAGCTCTGGTCTTAATTACTTGCAGCTAGACACACCCCCTTGGTCTGATCAGGAGCCAATTGGAGCAGGAACTGGGGACAGACTGGTGTAACTGGTTTTTACTGGATACGGACAGTTGAAGCAGCAGAATGTACTCCTAGTTTTGCTCAAGTCTTCTGCACCTAAGCTCAAGAACAAAGGAGTGGCAGCCATCCTCCCAGCAGCTAGAAGTCAGCGCCTCTCAAACAATGGCCACTCACGCTGTTGTTGTTTTAATCTCCTTGAGCAAATTATCCCTGGTCCTTCACTATCAGGGGCAGTTCCTCCAGACATACTCCTGGTCAATACACTAAGGCTCACTCCAGGAGAGCAGGTCATCTTAGTGCTGGAGCCAGAGCCCTCAGCAGAAAAACCTCCAAAAAGAAGCAAAGGAGGAGTCAAGTCTTGGTGAGAAGGGCATCTTCAGGGGAACACAGAGATGGAATCCATACCGAGCTGCCCACCTCACCCCGCCTCAATGCAGTAGGTCTCAACAGGCGGTGAGCAGGAATTACCACCGCCCAGGAATCCCGCTATCCTCTCCACAAATCTATTTTCTCTCAGGCAATTTGAAAGGATCCTCTCAAAATGAAAAAAGAATTGTATCCTCACTGCACTTTCTTGTCAAAACATTTCATTCGCTTCTCCCTTCACTTCAGACTGAAAATCTTTAATCTACACCCAAGGCCCTACATGATACGGCTTCTGTGGACAAATCCGTTTCACCTCTTAATGCATTAACTTGGGACTCTGTTCCAACCACATTGGCCTGCAGCCACACGGAGGCCTGTGTTGTTCCTTTTGTCTGATCTTCCTTTGCACTCCAGCACTCCTTCAAATCTCCACAGGGAAGCCTGGAATCCATTAGACACTGCCAGCCTCTTAAAGCTCTCCTTAGCATCGCCCGATGCTCTTCTGTTCATGTGAAGACTGACTTAATCTTTGGCTGTGCCCCACAATGCTGGGGTCTCTAAACCAAGCACGAGTGATTTGTTTGTTTGTTTGTTTGTTTGTTTGTTTGTTTGAGACAGAGCTTCTCTGTGTAGCCTTAGCTGTCCTGGATTTGCTTCGTAGACCAGGCTGGCCTCGAACTCACGGCAATGAGCCTGCTTCTGCCTCCCTGAGTGCTGAGATTGCAGGCCTGTGCCAATGCACCAGGCTGCAGGAGAGGTTTTATTCTAGATTTTTTTTTCTGGGGTTTGTTGTGTGCAAGTCTCTGGCTGTGTGAGACCTACAAGCATGGTTCAGAGTATCCATATTCTTGCGTGTATGCATGTTTGTGTACAGGCACATATGTGTGCACAGCATGCAGATGTACATTAGGAGACAACTCAGGTTTTAGTCCTCACCACTTTAGGCAAGGCATCTTTGTTGTTTGCCCCTGTACTATGCTAGCTGCCCACAGGCTCCCAGAGATTTGAACTCAGGTTCTCATTCTTTTGTTTGTCTTTTGGTTTTTTTTGAGGGAGGGTTTCTCTGTGTAGCCTTGGCTGTCCTGGACTCTGCTTTGTAGACCAGGAAGGCCTCGAGCTCACAGAGATCCATTTGCCTCTGACTCTCAGAATGCTGAGATCACAGGCATGCTCCCCTGCACCCAGCTTCAGATTCTCATTCTTATAACAACAACAACAAAACACACCCACTAAGCCTGGACTTTCTAAAGCATGAGAGATCCATGCATATCTGTAGAGCCAGGGCTTGCTGTAAGGAGAGGGAGATCTGTCTGCAGGGTCATGCCCATGGCACCTCAGCAACCATCTGGAGCTGAGCCGTGGCTGAGCTCCTCCAACAGTCATCACAACTGGCTTGGCCTATACTTATCCTATAGCTTGGCTTGGCTTCCCCAGACATTATCTGTGGTCCACGATTCCTCCATCCTAGGATGGACCTGGGCTTCTTTCCCTCATCTTTTCTCAGTGACTTGATTTCTTTCCTTCTTTCTAGAGTTCTAAGGTCAGGTTTGGATTTGGTTACCTGTTATCGCTGGGAAATACCCAGGGCCTGTGGAGATTTCAGAAGGTCTGTCATGAGCATGAGCTCATTAAACCACTCTGGCAGCACAATGATCACCCAACAGAAAGCACTGAGGCAGAGAACAGGATGTGACCTGGTTCTCAGCAGTCAGGCGTTTGCCTCTCAAGTCTGTGCCAGCCATTGCCTCTTCCACAGATACTTACTTAACACCCACTCTGTGCAAAGCACTACTCCAAGGACAGGGACAAGGCTATGAACACAAAAGAGTCTTGCATTGTGGAGATTATGTTTGGGAGTTGTAGGGTGAGGGTGGACACAACATTAGATAAGGATGCTCAGTGATCTGTGTCACTGAACATAGAAAGGTAGGAAGAGAAAGAAGTGAGTTGGGTGCTGAGATGTTATACAGCAGCCGTAAGTAACAACAAAGGTGTTAAGAACCAGCCAAGGGGACTCCTGGGGGAAGATCACTTGCAAAGGCCCACCAACTCATCTTGTTAACCTTTCCTTGAGTCCCTGAGCTGCCATCAGCTCTCAGGATTCAGTTTAAGTCTTTACCAAGGCATACAGGGAAGCCTACCCCATCATCTTCTCTAATCTCATCTCCTGTGCCTTTCCTGTTTTGCCAGTTGAGAAAATATGGCAGACTTTGAAATGGACAAAAATTTTCACCAAGTACCCTTCCCCTACTCCTTTGTCCTTCCTCTATTTGTTTAACTGGGGGTTGAATCCAGGGCCTCTTACAACTAGGCAACACTCCACAACTGAATTTCATCCTAGCCACCCACACTTTGAGTCAGGGTCTCACCAAGTTGCCCAGGCTGGCCTTGAACTTGAGATCCTTCTGCCTTCATCTACCAAGTAACTGGAATTACATATCTGTGCCACTCTGCCCAGCCCTGGAGTCTTTGTAGTAGAATGCTAGGCGTTTGTCTACCACATCCTTTTAGGGTATCCAATTCTTTGACAGTCAGTGCTTTTCATTATTTTACACCTGTGCTATTTGCTAAAAACTGATCAGTGATCCTAATGCAAATGCTTCTTACTCATCAAGATGCAAATGAGCTTTATGCAATGACAGCGAAATCAGTTCCTTTTTTTCTGTGGAAAACAGCAGTCATATTTCACTAGCAAATGCTTATGCTAATTGTTTATGTGAGTTACCTGTTCTTTAGTCTCCCCTTGAGTGGACTTTACATCTTATGCTAAGATGCAATTCAAGAGTTAATAAAAACTTTTAACATGTGTTCATCATGTGTTTATACCAGAATCATGATCTTATGTTAAAAAAAAAAAACTAGAATCTTTAAATATATCCTAAAAATGCAGCCATGTTGAATATCTTCAGATTCTTGAAAGCAGCCATTTGTTTTCACTTTTGTCTGCTGCAGCTTCTAACAAGAGTACCAAAGAGTTTTTGCCCATTTTCAATACCCAGCTCAAATACCCCCTATATGCAGCCTATATTCTCCAGTGTTAATTGCCTACAGAGCTTCTGATCCATGTAAATTCCAACTTGGTTCTATTGTATGCAGATTATTTTATAAGTGTATCAGACCTTGTCTCTGCCACATATGTCTATGTCCTATTCACTTTGAATTCCTTGTGCCTAGACCACCACCTGCCCTTCTTCACAAGCATATGGGAATAAAAGCTGCAATAATAGCCCAAAGTGACTCTTCCCTGTTCATGGAATTAAGAATTGGACTCTTATTTGGACTGTTATCAGCTCCTGGATGAGGGTGATTAGAAGATATGCACAGAGAATTTTAATAATTAATTTTCTTCTGAGAACCCCAAACTCTATTATCTCACCCCTATTTAATAGGAGGCCTCAACTAAGGAAATATAAGTCAAGTTAGAATTCAAACCTGGCTCCCAGCATTCCCACCCTCTTAAGAACTGAAGCAGTGCTAGCAGAGACTTAGCGATAAATGCCAGACGGTTGCAATGTGGCTTTATTAAGATGAAATTAAGGTCTTTTATCTGGAGACACTCACCACGCCTGAGCTCCCACGATAGTGTAGGGGTGGTGGCCACCTCTCCTCACCTATCATTGGAGCTCCAGCATCAGTACTACTTTGGCACATAGAATGGACCAAAGATCCAATCTCCCATAAAGTGACTCTGTGGGTGCCAACACCCCAGGGACACGCCACCCTGGGCACACAGAACTACGAAGGCCTGTCCATCATGTTTCTCTTTAACTTCTGGTGAAGGCAACAAGGTACCATGGGACTTGGAGCCAGATCACCAGCTACAACTCCGGTTGTCTCCTTGGTCAAATAGCATAATGTTCTGTGCCTTACTTTCCTCCTTTGTGGTACTAACAATCTGACTTTTGTAGGGTTGGTATGAGGATTAAGTGGTGCAGTTGATGGAATGTACTTAGCACAGTGCCCAGCACATGGCAAACAGTCAAGAAGCATTCATTTAGTCCGTAAAGGTTCATCATCAATGCACAGGGCTTGTGATTTTCCTCTCAGCCTGCCTTACCTGTGGTCACAGTGGCATCATTACCTCATTCTTTGCAGTTCTGCTTTCTTTTTTATCATCAGCTCCTTCTTGGTCTCTGTCAGGTCTCCGGGTTTTGCTTTTCTCACTCTGCTTGGACTTGGCACCCTCAGGGGCCCTCGTGATCTTGGGGTCCAGCTCATCTTCCTTGCCAGTGCCCTCTGGGTGAGGGTGTCTACTCTCCCGTAGTCTAGCCTCTTCTTTCCTCCTGGACCTTCCTGGCACATCCTGCTGCTGCTTTAGGTATTTGTCCAACTTGGCTTTGGGCTCTTTTCGATAGTAGCCATCTTCTCGGCCTTTGTAGCTGGACACAGGATGGAGCGGGCTGGGGGACCCTGACCGCAGGTACTTTTCTCGGTGGCCCCTCCCTCCTTCAAGTCGCTCATCCAGTTCAGCTTTGTCCAGCTGCCTGGGGTAGTGTTTACGATCGTGTGCCCAAACATCTGTCCTGTCCCTCTTGTCTTCCCCATTCTCCCTCCAGGGGACAGGCTCTCGATCATCTTCCCTCCTCGCGTAGGGAGAGTGCTCCCAGGAGTCCCGGCCATTGCCCCAATCAGCCCGTGAAGGGCCTGGGGGACTGTGGGAGGAGCTGCAGGAAGTGAAGCTTGGAGTGTGGGATCTTGGAGACAGTGATCTGCTCACTGGACTCCGAGACCTTGGCCGCTCTGGACCGTATCTGGGAGGGAGAAAGGAAACGGTTCAGAACCTGCTGAGCTCAGAGCCCACACCACACACAGATGCTCTCAGAGGTGCATGTGACACAACCTGCCCGCTTGCCCATTCTTCAGTTACAACGAGATCTACACAGGGGGGCTAGGGACAAGCCTGTCCTTTCTGTGGATTTCTATGTGCATGGGTTTTCCCTACGCCGCTCTCTGTTCCCTCCCAGTCAGCTCCTGCGAACAGCGAAGAATGATTGTGGTGATTGGTTATGTCCAAAGGCCCCGGGACAAGCGATACAAACGGTGAGGACCCTGTAAGGCGTGGTTGCCATGTCAGCAGAGGTGACTTATCTTCCCTTTCTGGCCCCCTTTCATTTAGCCCTCAGTACAAGTGGCAAAAATCCCAGGAATGGAAGAGGGGTGCTCATGGCTGAGCAGTGGCAGGAATGGGGAGGCGGGCTCAGACCTATTCAAATTTGAGATGAAGACATTGAAACCCTCAGAAAGTAGATCTGCCTAAGGTTCAGGGCAGAACTGCATAGTTTCCTACCAGCCCCACCCCTCACTGTCTCAGAGCAACAGGTGACATGGTCTGTCCTTATACACACTATTAAACCCCAGCTAACCACAATTTTAAATTAAAAAACAAACGAACAAACAACCAAAAAAAAAAAAAAAAAAAAACACAGACAAAAATCCCAAGCCTGAGTGACACATTCTCTGAAGGCTGATTATTAATCAGACCATACACCCAAAATACTAAAAGGATGGAACATTTTCCTTTGGTTCTCACATATTGAACAACAATGTATCTCTCACTGCCAGGACACAGCTGCAGCTCGCTACTGGAACTAGAGTGTCTTAGCCAATGTGGGAAACAGGCTGAGCTCCTGTCCTCCAGAACAAGGTTAGAGCTCCCTCTGTGGCCACTCTGGAGACTGGAGGCCCATTTATGTTTTTCCACAGGGAACCAAGCATAGCCTGATCCTGGCAGTGTCAAAAATGTCTGTTGAAAGAAATTAGTTGGAAAATGGCATGCATTCAGTGTCTGGAATCAATGTTCAAGGAATCAGGTGGTTTTTGTTTGCTTGTTTAACCCCATCTACATCCTTACTTCTACATCTATATTCAGCTCATGAAAAATCAGGAACTGGACGCCTCTAAACAGAATCTCCAACACTACCATGTGCCAGGACGTGTTAGTGAAGTGCAAACCTGCCCCAAAGAGCCAGATGGCAGCTCTGTTTGCAGTTTTCCTTTGCAACCCAGGAGAAACACAGTGAGGAAGCCCAGCACTTCCCGTATTCCTGTCCAACCTGAGCAGCAATGCTGGGCTACAGTGGTACCTTTCATTTGAACATGGATGAGTAGGGGCTAGAACACCAGGTGGATGGGTCAGGGCTGAGGGTAGGCTGAGTTACAATTCAAATCCCCTATCCTGAGTAGTTTTATGTCAACTTGACACAGGCTAGAGTCATGTGAGAGGAGGGAGCCACAGCTGAGAAAACACTTCCCGAAGGTCAGCCTTCAAGCAAACTGGTTGGGCATTTTTAAAACCTGTGACTGATGGGGGAGGGCCCAGTCTGTTGTAGGTTCAGCTAACCCTGGGCTGGTGGTCCTGGGTTCTGTAAGAAAGCAAGCTGAGCAAGCTGTGGGGAGCAAGCCAGTAAGCCGCATCCTCCATGGCCTCTGCATTAGCTCCTGCCTCCAGGTTCCTGCCCTGATAGAGTTCCTGACCTTGCCACTTTGGCTGATGGACTGTTAGAGTGAAGTATGAGTGAAATAAACCCTTTCCTCCCCAAGTGGCTTTTGGTAATGGTGTTTCATCACAGCAAAGCTAACTCTAAGTAAGGCATCCTTTAGGAACAAGAAACTAGAGGTGTTTTAACCTCCAGGTCTCTGCCCTAAGACCCAGAGCCTCACCTGTCAGCTTCCCGGAACATGTCCCTCTCCCTCTGGGAATGGATGTCCTGGATGATAGCAGCCACATTTTTCCCAGGTTTCTAGGTGAAGCCAGAGAGAACATCAGGAACATTGCAAGCCTCAGCAGGATGCAGCTGTCACCTGTCTTGTTCATGACCCTATCTACTGAAGGGGAAGTGATCTCTCTTTTGCAGGAAAGATAAAAGGATTGATACAAAAGATAATGACTATGAGCGTAACGGGGACCAGGGTAGGGCTGAGGAGAGCAAGGCATGTTAGTTATATCTTTTTTTTTTCTAATTATACTTTATTTACTTTGTATCCCCCCTCTAGTTCCCTCCCTCCTCCCCTCCCTAGTTATATCTTAATAGAGCAGATATTAAAAAAAAAAAAAACTAAAAACTCTCAACTATGTCAAATGTTGATAAAGAATTTTACAAAGGCGGCTAATCAACTAACTGTTCTTTTACTCTTTACTTTTTTCTATGTGACTTACAACAACTTCCAGGGCCATTCAGATAGTAGAGAACATCACCTATCTTATTCTGGGAGATCCAGGTCCAGTGGACAGACAGTAGAGTTCTGCATTCTTAGCAAGGTGTAGTACTGATTTCCTATTGCTAAGGTCAATGGTAGGCCTGGGGGAAGTACCTGGTAAAGGTGAGAATGGAGGAGGCCTGCCTGTGGCTTCTGGGTGAGAAGCCATGGACACAGGGAAAAGACAGAACACGTTCAAGCCAAGGAGGGATCTCCTGTCAGATCAAGACACAAGGGAAAAGGCAAAGGAAAGACAGTGACTCTCATCCTAAGCCATGAAAGCACAAGGACACAGACCCAGACATTCATTACTGGTCGGGCCAGCTTGCCCACACCTTGGGCAAATGGTACTTGTATTCAACAGAAAGTATAAACCTTGACGCTTTTTAAGTATATGCAATGCCTCACGCAAGTAACCAGGTCACCAAGAGTATGCCTTGTCAACTATCCCCAAATCTGTTTGAATGACAAGAAAACCCTGCAGAGTCCAAGGCTGTGCTGACGAGGTCAGGGCTGGGCGAGGGCTGGGAAGAAAGCTCCCGCCCAGAATGTTTCCTTCCACTACACACTCACCCTAGAGAGGTTTGTCTAGGTTGACAGGGTGTCACTTGAGCTAGTCTTTCTGAATTCCCTCAGAACTTGGCTGCTGCTTTCTGCAGCTAACACATGTCAAACAGTGGAGCTTGGGAACACTAATGAGAGCCACCAGGATCATTCGAGTCTATGTGACAAGATATGCATTGTCTAGGAGGCCAATTCCAGGTCTCAGACCTATGGCTTGTGCTGGACCAGTCGAAGCAGGCAGAAGCTAATGATTATGACCCCTCACTGTGCAACCTTCCAGAGCACAGTGGAATTCCCAGGGTGAGTTTCACAGGGGCTTTGTTTTGTAAAAGGGGTCTTAGAGGTCGATGTTTGCTACCTTTCTGGAACTTAATGTCTTCCCGGTTGTTCCTTTCAGACCCAGAAAAGAAGAAAAGGGTAGCCTTGTGAGGCAGCAGATGGGGGAGGAAGGTTCTGCAGAGCAGCCAGTATCAGGGACAGCATGTAGTCACCAGAGGTACCCAGGCCCGTCTCCTCACAGGCACAGGTGTCACAACACCAGAAAAGGAGGAGAAAAAGGATAAAGCCAGACTTTGCACCTTGTTATTAAAGGAAAATTTGAATACACAGAAATGTGGAATGAATGTATAGTGAGTCCTGTCTAATCTTGTGACATCTGTACACTGACCTTCTTTTCCCACCTTCAAATTATTTTGAGGCAAATCTTAAGAGGTCACATCTCTTCCTCTGGTTTATGATGACACTGACGCAGAGCAGTACTCACATAGCAGACCAGGCAGCTCTCACTGTCAGGACAATTGCTTCGGACATGACTGGGCTTCCCAGCTGGTAGGCCTCTTTTCATTCAGTTTCCATCTCTGCACAGCTAATTCTCCCACCCTACAAGAACTCGCCAATCAAACCACAGCCTTCTCCTGGCCACAGAAACTGGTTCCAAAATGGACACATGTGCTAAACTAGCCCAATCAGAGTGGCCAGAGGGTTTGTGGGAGATATTAGGGGAAAGTCTGGTTCTCTCTCACAGGGGAGATGGGACGAGGTGTCAAAGGTAGAGCTTCTGACAGACACAGAGGGCTACCATGCTATCTAGAGAAGAGAGCCCGGGGCTGCTGAGGGCATCCCATGAAGCACCCAGAAAACAAAGCCATGACCCCAGAAAAGCAGACCAGAGAACAACATCATCTTGATCTCATTTGGGTGCAAAACTCAGCTGACCCTGCCTTCAGCTACTCCTTTACTTTTCATTTACAGGAGCCAAGAAACCCGTTTCACCTACATCAACAGGCTTAACTGCCATGAGTTTCTGTTACATACAGAGCTGATTCATGTCAATTTAGGTGCCCTAAAGCCTATTACTACACAGTTGGAATATGCTGAAGGTCAAAATGACCCAGAGGGACTTTATGACAACATGAAGAACACAAAACCCATACCAGAAGTCAGAAAGCAGTGTGCTCTATGTCTTTGCTCTTAGGGGGAGAAGAGACAGCATCTGCTGGGGGTGTGGTAGACATGTGGAGTCACACCCTGGCCCCAGACCTGCAGACTCCCTGCTAACCTGCATGCACCTGAACTTTGAGAAGTTCTATCAGAATACTGTTCCTACAGTGTCCTGCCTGGGGACTGTAAGCAAAAAACTACCTAGTTTCTCTGCTGTTTTGTTTTGTTTTCTTTCCATGTGGATGATGGACAACCCAACACTGCAATCGATATAGTGCAAATATAGTGCAAACCCAATGTAGTCTTAGGGGGTTTTGTTGCTTGCTTGCTTGCTTGCTTGCTTGCTTGCTTGCTTGCTTGCTTGGTAGGTTGGTAGGTTGGTTGGTTGGTTGGTAGGTAGGTAGGTAGGTAGGTAGGTAGGTTGGTTGGTTGATTTATTTGTTTTGTTCTTGGTGTTACCCAAACAGGGTCTCACTGGGTAGCCCTGCTGGCTTAGAGCTCAGAAGACAAAGCCAGCTGGCCCTTGAACTTGCAGTTTTACCTGCCTGCCTCTCCAGCGCTGGGGTAAAGAAGGCAAACCCCAGCACACCCAGCCAACAGTCTCAGGTTTTCATCATGGATCATCCAGTAACTAAGATCTTGGGCAAGCTGTGGAACATATCTTCATCTGTAAACTGAGATTAGAATACCTGTCTTGCGAGCCTGACGTCAAGATTGAAGTAGATAATGTGTGGAAAGTGCTTAGTATGTTACTTGCCTCAGAGTAGCAGAACTCAATTAAAGGTGTACATTATGGTGTGCTCCTATAATTACTGTGATTATCTGCCCTGCACATCTCACAGGTGAGTGTGAGATGGAAAAGAAAATGCATGGGAAAAATTGCTTAAAATAAAAGAACTCAAATATAGTCTGAACTAATCTGAGTACTGAGGTTCACAGAGTTTAAGCAAACTGGCTCAAAGTGGAGGAGGCAGAGCAGAGGATGATGTAATCATTTTGCAACCTGGCATAGGTCACATCTGTTGGTTCTTTGCCTCCATGTCTCTCCTCCCATTAGACCAAGATCCTCATACAGTTGCTCCCTCCATGACTTTGGCACCAGTTCAACTGACATCCATAGTGGGCACTCAGTGAACTTTTGCTGAATGCAAGCCTCAGACCTCGTGCTGTCTTCACCACCCTAAACTCAGTAGAGTGTTACTGAGTGTTACTGAAGTGCCTTGACACTTCGAGAAACTATTGTTGTTCAGCTGAATTAGAATCTTATGACACTTCATTTGGAGGCCCAAACTCCACTGGGAACTCAGTGCAGAAATTCAATTCCAGCCCCCAGGGGAAAACAGGAAGTGGCTAGGTACAGAACAGGGTGGAGCTTTTCACCTGCCTGATGCTTTTATTACAGAGAAAGACAACCCAGGTTGTGCCTGAAGCATAGCTGTTGGGGAGGAACTCCAGAAGCAATAATTCGAGCAGAGCAGAGAGGAACTAGGGTAACTGGTTGACACATCTCTGCATATGCTGACTTGCTGGAGTGCTTGTCCTTGCTAGAAGCAACTAGTTGGCCTTTGTCTTCTGACGTCAGCTCAAGATTAAGGTCAGATTAAGGGCTGCTAGTTGTGAACAAATTGGACCATGAGTAAAGATGGAAATGAATCAGAAAAAAAAAAAAACAAATCCTATTAGTTGCAACAGTAGGAAGCATAAAATAAGAGGGTAGGTTTAAACACTAAACGATTACAATAAACCCAAACAGACCAAGTGTCCTTGTCAAGAGAACAGCAAATCAACCAGAAGACACAATATAAAAGGAAAACATAGGCAGATGACTTGGAAAGAAACTTCCCATCAAGAAAACCAGAGTCGGTAAATATGGAAAAAAGTACTCAAGCTTATAAGTCATCAGAAAAATTAAAATTAAAACCAGAACACCACACCCACTTCATGGCCAAATCAAGAAGCCAGACAACTTAATATCAGCAGGACTGTGGACCACTGGAAATCCTCACATGTTGCTAGAAGGATGCTGCGATGTGACTGTGCACTCTGGAAAGAGCTCACTGTCACCTAGTAGAGTTGAGGTGGCCTGCTTGTCATCAACCCTGGTGATTCATGTACCACCTGGTTAGGCGCCCGTGTGCATTTGTGCCATGGTAACGTGCTTGACAAGTAGATTAGCACTGAGGGTAACATCTCCAAACTAGAAACAACCAGATGTCCGTCAGCCACAGAATAAACAAACGGCAGAGCCATGCAACATTTTATACAACAATGAACATAGACGTAGAAGACGAAATGTTGAGGAGAAAAAGTGTGACTGTGTAACTGCCTACATATGATGTTTAAAGATTAGCAAAGGTAAACACCACTGTTTAGGGTGATACAAACATAAAGGAAAAAACACAGAAATGATTATCCTCAGAGTGAGGAGAGTGGAGAAGGGAGAGCTGAGCATGAGGAGGGTCCCAAGGACTTCTGGGTATTGTCCATATTTATTGCTTAACTTTTGTGGTGCTTTTATGGGTCATGTGAGAGCTGACTCATTAATATTAAATTGCAAGTAATTGACCATGAGGGGGGTTTACAAGTAGTTAATTCTATACAGATTATAATACTCCTCAAGGGAAAAAAAGGAAAGGAAAAGAAGAATGCATAACAAGCTAAAACAAAACCAAAGCCCACTTTGGAGCTGACTGAACGCATCTGAGTCAAGTGTTGCTAGAAGGACATGCCCAAGCTTCTGATACCTACGGAGGATGGAAGAGAGAACTAGAGGGGGTGCTGAGGAAGAAAAAGTCATCAGAGGTCTGAATGTGCCAAGAAGAATTGCATTCAAGGTGGAATTATCCTCCTGAAAATACAATCACCCTTCTCCTTACTTCCTCCTTCTGTGAACATCTTTCCCTCCAGAATCCCCCTAGCTCCTAACCAGTCTTAAGCAACCCTTTCTTCTTGTACTTACCTCAATGAAAAGTTTTCTTTTTTAATATATTTTTATTTATTTTTTGAGAATATCATACATATATTTTGATTACATTCTTTCCCTCCCCCAACTCTTCCGACTTCTTCCCCTCTTCCTTCAGTGAGCCATTTTCTTGCCATATTGTAATTTCCATTTATAATAGAGATCCTCAAGAGCCATGACGAATCTTTTCATTGTTTCCTAAGGTCTCCTTCCCAAACAGCACTTGGGTAAATGCCCAGAGAGCAGGAGAGGCTCGCTGAATGACTGACTGAATGAGAGAATGCTGTACCTTCAGCTGCAATTCCTTGTATCTCTTGGACATCCGAATGAGTAACTTCTCACCATTGATCACAGCAGACTTTTCTTGGTAGTACTGGACCATAGCCTGAGCAGCTTCTGTGTAAGCCATCTCTAAGAAAGCCTAGGGTACATAAGGAGACAGACAGTGGATGTGACTTCAATGGTCTTAAATACAATTCAGTACGAGGTATGATTCCATGTTGAAAAAGCTTGAGAACAGGTGACATAATCAATCGGAACAAGCTGGCATTGCAAGTCCTTCTAGAGTGGGGGCGGGAACCAAATGGGAAACCTGATATTCTGGAAATGTCCTTTATCTTGGCCTGGGTTAATTATATGGGTTACATATGTAAAAAAAATAAATAAATAAAATAAAAATTAATAGAGCTGTACAGTGAAGACAAGCATACTTTATGCACTTGAGAGTATCTGTTTTATAGCTCAATAAAGAGAAAAAAATCAGCACAAGAAAGAACTCTCTTTGATCCCATGTGTTCAAAGAGAACTTTTTATTAACTTCACCAAAAGAACTCATTACGGATGGCTCCTATCCTGGTTCCCATGGTTACCAAACACTATTCTTAATTATGTATGTCCATCCTGAATTACATCATCCTGTGGAAGGCCCTCTGGGGTGGGAGGGCCCATTAACTCACAGTTCCCACGTGGGTCTTGCACCCATGGTCTTGGGCTGCCATTTGGTGGTGGCATCATAGGGAACAGAAGCGTCCGCTCAGGGGGCTGCCTGAGCTCCCGTTTGTCTCAATAAAAAGAAATGTATTTGAAAACTCAGAGGCTTATAAGCCCCCAGGCTCAAAGGATGGCTAGGCTGCTGTGGCTTAGAAAAAAGAAGCCCCTGGCCATTTTTTCATGGCATCCTCCTTCTTTACTTCACTGTTCGGATAACACAGAGAAATGGGCTTTTCCATTCAGTCCAACAATCTAATAGACTGTTTCAATAGACTTGTTCTTTGATCCAGTAGCTGTGGGTGCAAATCTGTGGCTGTTAGACTTTCTTAGTATTTTTGGTTTATAGCGATGTGGGCTAATGCTGGTCCCTCTGTGTTGAGGTTTACCATAGAACAAAGACACTAATCCATCAATTTGTATTTAGAGGATAATAGCTTTGTCAGTGAGCACCTCAAACTAAAGAGACCTCCCTCAGTTCACAAAAGCCTAAGCAGAGTTCTTTCTATGAGCCTCTAATCCTCTCCCTTTCTATCGCCTCATCCTCCTCTTTCTCTCTCATTTACTAGTTAATTTCAGATGCAAAGTTTTTTTCCATCACAGTGCTGTGAAGTATATATGACAAAGAAGTCAGAATTCTTTAGGCTTTTATTTCAAATGACGCCACCCACTTTCCTAAGGTGTCTTGCTTAATGTAAACACTGAGCACTTCTAGATATCAATTCTCAAGTGGGGAAAGTACTAATTTGGGTAGCCTTGCTGCATTACTGCTAAATTTACCCAGACCATACATTTGTACCACACAGAAGCCCTGAGATGAGCACACAATAATAGCCTATCTCCAGGCTGAGGATTGGAGATCGCTGATGCTTTACTGTGGCTCCAAGTTCCAGAGGTCATACCTACATGGGGAAAGCACTTCTCATCTACCTGTTTTTAGCTTTATAAAGCAAAAATAGTTACTGAAATAAAGAAAAGGGGACTAGAGAGGTGGCTAAGTGGGTAAAAGGATCTGAGTTTGGATCCCTGCACCCAGGTAAAAAGTTAAGTGGAACCCCAATGCTGTGGAGAGGCAGAGACCAAGAGGATTGTTACCTGCCTTCTTAACTCCAGGGTCAGTGAGAGATCCTGTTTTTTAAAAATTATACATACTTATCTATCTATCTATCTATCTATCTATCTATCTATCTATCTATCTATCTATCCATCCATCCCAGAGTCATAGGGTAGGACAGCAGCATCTTCTTCCGGTGTTCTTAGACTCAATAAGCCTTTATCAACTGCCCTATGTTCCACTGCTGGGTGACCTCACACATGGACATCAAGAACAGGTTAAATGATCTGCTCCCAGGCAGTTCTTGGCTGGTTCCACACCCAGGCAGTTAGAAGTGACCAGCTGAGGAACCGGGACTATAGTGTTAGCTCAGGAGATCCATAACAGAGCAATGCTTGGGAGTCTGTCAGCTCATTTGGAGGCCAATTAACTTTTCTATGTTAAACAGCACCTCATACCAAAATGACACCTTCCCTTCCAGGCAATTCACAAAAGCCTGTAACCCCAGCACAAGCAGGCACTGTAGAAACAGAGGAGACAAGACAACAGTCCCAGCACCAAACCTCTGTGCCTTGCCAAAGAAGCCAACTATGCTTCACCTCTTTCCATACAGAAAATGCCAACAGTCTCCTTTCACCACCATGTGGCTCATCATGCATCCTCAGAGCAAATGGGTCAGGCCTACCTGATTGGTTGACTTCATGAGGATGTAATTAGTGACCTTGCCAAAGGGCAGCCCCAGGTTAATGACGTCATTCTCGGTACAGCTGCCCTCCGGGAGATTGCAGATGTGTACCACTCGCCCAGAACCTTTCCTCTGTGCAAACTGCTGGGGACAAAGAGCAGGGCTGAGTCTTCAAAAGGTACCTCTCTCTACCCCTGCCCAGTCATCCCAAATGGCCATCTTCCTCCAGATAATGGCAAATGGTCATTTATAAAAACCAATGCAGAAAAGAAACACATTCACAGATACACACAAAGCGCCAACTTTATGCCTTCTAGCTACAAAGATGATTCACATTTCCAACAAGTAGTAATATACAAGGCTGGGGAACAGCTAAGGAATTGGGCGTATCCACATATAGCTAGTGAGAGTTCTGCATTGACACCCTTTGAAAATATATTTTCTCAATAGTAAATAAAACTTAAAGTATATACAGGCCAAGATCCCAAGAACCCACTTTCAGAAGACTGCCTGATAGAAATAAAAACATAAATAAATTTGCAGGTACATGTGACAAGACATTTACTGAATAAAAAAAGAGTTCTGGGAACAGCCTGCACGTCCAACAATTGGGGAGTGCCTAGGTAAATGATGGTTATAGTGGAGGGTTAACATGTACAGTGGAAAACTTCACAGGCATTGAGAGGAAACCAGTGTGCTGCTATAGAGCACTTTAAAGACAAACTGTCATGTGAAAAACAGGTGGCCAATTAGCATGCATATTATAATGTCGTTTTTGTAAAGCTAAATTATATGGAAAGCAGAGAAAACAAGTACCATAAAATTTTTGGAGGTGAGAGGCAGGAGCTCAAGAGTTAATGATCCTCACTTCTGCAAGTTTGAATTCAAACAATTAGAAAGATGTTTGAATTTTGTGGTTTGTTTGCAATGAAATTTTTAAAGGTTAGGAACAAAGACAGAGAGGCGCGGGGTGTGCTTATCAACCTGTCAAGGCTAGTTACTCTCGGAGGAGTAGAAAGGGCAAGGAGCAAGGACAGACACGCTGAACCTGTTTGAAATAGTCCTTATGTTGTTCAGCATACACTTAAAAACAAAGTTCCACTAAATGGAAAAAAAAGAAAGATGACAGAAGGGGTTTTGGAAACTGAATATGGGCACACAGGTATACACAAGCTAACCTGTGCTTTATGGCAACGGTTTTTCAAAACATTTTTCAGCCTTGGGATCCTTTTGTCAAACAAAAACCTGTCCAGCAGCCAGATACACTCAGCAAGTAAAGAGGGTCTGTTCCATCAAACTTGGGGGTTCTGAACCCAGACTCCATCCCCACCAGAGAGATGTGAGGGCAGATCGAAGTCTAATTCAAGTTCCTGGAGGAAGTGTGTCAATTAGCTTTGGTCAAACTGTAATGAACCTCAAACTCCCAGAACTCAGGAATTAGGAGAGAGAGTGTAGTCTTCCAGACCTGAGAAAGCCACCGCCCACATCAGCAGTCATCGCTTTCTTCTGCAAAGTGACTCTCAGCATCTAATTATGGTCTGACTCTGCCGAGTTGACAGAAGGGGAGAATTTCTGGCCTCACCCCTAACAAGGGCTGGTACTTAGGGAACACTGCCACGAAAACCCTCATTTGTCTCATCTGGGCTGAGGACAATTAGACTCAATCATCATCTCTCTTTACGGTTCCACCTTGAATTAGGGGGGCTTCAGGTGCTCCTTTCAGACTCCACCCTCCGTGGTGTCCAGATGTCAAGCACTTTCCCTTTGGGGAGCATTGATTTGGCATTTCCCAACCCACACCCCACACCCCACCTGCAATCGTGTGCAAGGACTTCCCACAACCTGGGAGACTGAGCCTGAGTAGCAAAGATTGAGCCCATCCATAGTGAGGACAAAAGGAGGGCTATTCCGAGCCCCAGCTGGGATCTTCCCTCCCTGAGGGTGATCTGAGGAGAGCCAGCAACTCTCTAGGAGAGCAAAGCAACTGGTTCTCTGAATTTGTCAGAAGGCTGAGCCTGGGCACTCTGCCTGGTCTGCTCCTAGCACCCCACGTTTCTGCCCCATGTGATGTTGCTGTGGATAGCCTGAGTAACGTGTGTTTGGACTACACAGCAGATAGATATTCAGGGTGACTGTGGGCAGTCTCTCTCCCAGTCCATCCAGCTGCCTAGTGACCAGGCACAGGAACCAGCACCCCTCACCCATTGTGGACTCTGGCTTGAAAGGACAGTTTAAGATGCCTTTATCTGAGCCCAGCAGAATAAACAAAACACTCCTCCCAAGAACAACCCCCAAACCGCCTGTCACCAAAAACCTAGCTTTGCCACGGACGTCCACACCAAAGGCACCGAAATAAATTCATCTCAAAGTTCCCAATTGTAAAGACCCAATCCTTGCACCTGTCACCACAGTCAAGTTAGAAGCATAAATGGGCTTTTATTGATTCTTTAGGTGCAGAGGGATTAGTACCCTTCTACTTAATTAGCTCAGGTCAGAGCTTCCCAACTAGTGAACTCCACACAGGTTTTAGATGGACCGGGATACTGACTGTCTCAGCCTGGAAGCCAAGGACCTCCAGTGGCTGACCCTTCACTGGATCATTTTCTAAGTGAGCCACGAGATGAAAGCCTTGGTAAGCACTGCCTTCATGGTTTGCTCAGAGTTGTTCGATTTCAGAGTATCTGATAAATCCTACACAGAAAGACAAACCGTTTTTCTGTAAGTCACATTCTTTTGCTGACATTTTATTTAGAGAACTCCAGCCTGCATTCTTCACTCTCTTCTGTAGATATCAACTACCACTTCAACTCAAGACATGCGTGCTTCATTTTTTTAAACATGAATAGGTATTGTTGCTATATTCTTGAAACAACTTATATAAATATGGCTATATTTGCCTTATTCCCTGTGAAAGAGCTTAGTGAGGAGAGGGAGAGACGGCCAGAGGGAAGAGCCAGGCTCCTGGGTAGCACTTCTGAGTGAGGTGTGATTCCTGAGGACCCTGGCAACTGCACATGCTTTGGGTCAAGCAGCAGCATCCGTATGACAATCCCCAGCTTGGGCTTGATAATCAGTCCTGAATGGTCTTTGGAGTTAAAGATGCAGCAGTCCTTCCGTCCTCTGTAGGGATCTACCTTCCAGGGCCCTCGGTGAATTCCAAACCACAAACGGTACTAAATCCTGTGTATACTAGTTTTCCTTCACATTCATACCTATGATCAAGTTCAATTTATAAACCGGGCATAATAAAAATTAATAATAACAACTACTTATAAACTAGAACAATTATAACAATATATCATAGAACAAGTTACTTAAAAACTTACAAACTTAAAAATTGTTTCTGAATTTTTCTATTTAATATCCTCAGACCTCAATTGACCTTGGGTTACAGAAACTGCCCAAAGTTAAATGCAGGATAAGGGGGACTATTGTATTATGGAGATGGGTGTTAAACAATACCTTAGAAATGCTAACAGCTGAGCTAACATCACACACCACTCTACTGAAATGGCATTAAATTAAACATGGCTGAAGAATGCCTCCACACTTCAAGTTAGGAAACACTGCAACCTAATGTAAAATAACTGAACACCTAATTTTGGAGCAAACGGCCGGGTCTCAGCCAATCATAGTCAGCTAAATGATCAGCCCAAGGTCAAATCAGGCCAGCACTGTCAACCCATTCAATTGCCTTTGTGACTAACTTTCCTTCTCTGTCCAGAGATGCTGTTTGCTATATTGGGGGCGCTGCTGTCTGGTTTTTCTGGTTCTAGGTGATGCATGGATCATTCTTTGCTCAGACAAACCCTGTGAAATTTAACTCATCCAAGCTTTTCTTTTAATATTTTCTAGAATGCTCAGAAAAATCTGTTACTTCTGTGCCTTTGATTAGTGAAAAAAAATGGCTAACTAGGAACTCATTAACTTTTTGACAGATAAAAATATTTCCAAACATGGAATGCACGTAGGTATTTGAGGTAGAGATAACAGAGGGGAAATCAGACTTTAAAATCTGGAGGCTTCTTGTGAGAACTCAGATCTCACACTGATCAGGAGTGTAACCTGATTTTCTTTACAGTCACCAGTTTCCTAACATCTGGAGGGAGGTGACTGTATGTCTAAAGTCCTTTCCAAATGTAAAATAACTGCCGTGTATCTCTAAGCTTGAAAATTTTAGTCCCCCTGGAAGCTTTGCCAAGCAAAGCCCTAACTTGCAGGACTTTCCCAAGACGGCACAAACAGGAAAATTGGGTCCTCCCACCTTGGCGTGGCCAGGGTACCAGTGAGTATAACTTTTGTTCCCACTGGCCCTGTGGGCAGCTGTTTAGCTGTTTGTATCCACAAGCTTGCTCACCTCTCAGCACGGTGCTGGTGGTTTCATCCCTACAGTGTTGCAGATACGCTCCCAAGGGCCAGCACTGTGTTATCAGCAGAGACTAGAGACTGCTGCCATGGTGCCAGAAAAGCCGGAGATGACAGATACCGTGAGATGCTCCAGAGACACACGTATCTGGGGTCTCTCTAGGGGACAACCCTATGTCTAGTATGTGCTTTACTGACACCAGAAACCAGGGCAGGGTAGAAGGAGAAAGACTGTATATCTGGGCCCCTGTAACTCACGGTGAGCCAGGGACTGAACTTTTCTAGGCCTGAGTCTATAAATCCAGGAGGTTCCACTGGCTTACTGAGAAAATGAAAGGTCACACAGTTAGTCTCGAGTGCTTTGGAATAATGCCTGACCTCCAGGGGGCTCCTAAATAAACATTTGTCTCCATACTTTCCTACTATGGAATAGGGTGCTATGAGGATCTTGGACTGGGAAAGAATATTGCTAGAATGATGAGAGAAAATATCCATATTCTTAGGAAATCAAAATGAACAGTGTCTTCAAGCAATTCTTAGATGATGCTTCAGTAAAGAAAACACCTGTCAGACAGACAGACAGACAGCTGGTGAAACATAGAAAAGAATGATGAAGGAAATGGCAAGAGAGAAAGGAATAGTGAATCCTGGCAACTGTCATATAAGAGTCCCTTATGTCTTTTTTTTTTTTTTTTTTTTTGTCAGTTTAAAAGAAATTAAAAAGTATCAAAAATTTGAGCTTCGGGGTAAAACAGATAGGTTTTAAAGAAAAATGC